GCGTAATATATCAAATAATGATTAATGGTTTTTGTTAAAAATAGATTAAAGATCAACTGCGTTACTCTGACGCAGTACCCTTGTCCCTGGTTCAAACTTTAACCACCGTACCCTCATTGAACTTTCAATCTTTGTCCCCGGGGGTATAAAAACACTCCTCCCGATCGCCGGGATCACTGCTACCGATCTTCAATTGCAACTTATATATAACTAATACTCCTATTCTGGGGGAGCTTCGACTCCGCAGAGCCTCACCTTCTTTTTTTTTTGCATTATCCTTTTGATTTACGATGTACTGATAAAAATGTATATAGGACGGGACGTTTTACTGGTCTGATAATCTAACTATTAGGGTCGTGATAGATGTTTCAGAAATTTTAAAGATACAAGCAATGAATATCCCTGGCCAGGAGATTGAATGGGGACGAGGACCTGAAATCTTCCATGTGTTAACATATGCAGTTTGTATGGCCGTGTTTGACCCTTCGTGGAGAGGAACACAATCGAATTTTGACAATTAATGAAAACCTAGAAGTTGAAGTGTTGATTTTTTTGCAGTTATTGGAAGCATCCCGAACAGAACTGTTCGATCAGCTGAAAAATCTAAATGGACTACTGTTAACAAAAACTTTTCTTGTCGGAGAGCGGATGTCACTTGCAGATATCTCTGTGGCCATGGATTTGCTACCAGCTTACCAGGTATCCAATATTCTTTGGACAGTAGCAAGAAGGTATCCGATGGGCCAGGTATCCAACAGTATTTCTGTTTCAGTATGTTCTGGATGAAAAAGCACGGACGCCACTTGTTAATCTCAATCGGTGGTTCAAAACCATAATCAATCAGCCAGCTGTCAAGGAGGTACTTGGTGAATTGCAGTTTGCATCAGAAGTTGCCAAATTTGATAGTAAGTCAATTAGTTTTTATGCATTTTTCGTAGCTATGCAATGTAGAAAACGCATATTGACGAGGGGTTGTCTGTGTGTGTGTGTGTGTCTGTGTGTTCGTGTGTGCGTCTGTACCGATTTTTCATCTCGAAACCTATAAAAGTTCCAGGGCTGAAACTTTGTGAACTTAATCTACATGCGCGTGCGGACCCTCGCCCCCAAAACGGACACTGTTGCCCACGTGGTTCACATGTATGAGCCCCTGAAAATTTCTTGCTGGCAACTTGCTAGCTCGGGGTCCAGAAAAGGTAAAAACTTAAGGGGATGTTTTCAGACAGTCCTGATGGCCAGCTTCAGTTCTGTTAGCTTGATTTATCGAAAAAACAATGCAGTTATTGACAAAAACGTACGGGAACTATGCAAAAAACGCATCTTCGCACCCACAGTCAGTGCTTTGCCCATTTATTTATTTTTTTGCTTTTGTCCCCTCGTATTTCAGAAAAACCATTGCTCAGAGGCTTCATCATAGTTAGAAGTTGGTAACAATTATAACAGCCTTTAAACTTGGCGGGGTTTTTCTCCGAAAGCTGCCAAGTCGAGAAGACCCGTGCTGCGTTTTTTTTTTTTTTTTTTTGGATGAGACGGCTACACATTAATAAATAGCGATACGAACCAGGGTAGCCATGCATTCATGCATTTTGCGTAGTTCGGTCCAGCGAACGTTTGCCTGCTAAGGATTTTCACTGTATTACACTTTGTTTTTTACAAAAATAGTTGATACGTTGTCTGGTTCTTTAGTTGCGGAATTTCCCACAGGAAATTTCGCACACCTGTACGTGAAACATAAACGTACGTGAAGGCTGAATTCGAAACCTTGGACGGTGCACATTCTTCCAAAATTTCAACCACTTAATTTTTTGACTTCCGAGTAACTTTCGCAGCCGAGTTTCCGTATTATCGTACGTGAGACCTCGGCATACTTGGGAATGAAGTTTGAGTTTGTGAGACCTCTGCATGATCAGAAAACATCCTCATGAAATTTCCAGTTTCCTAGCTTTTGTGGTTTCCGAGGCAATAATTTCCCCACCGAAATTTTCAAGGGGCCGCATTTGATACCCCGGTGCGTGGGAAGGCTGAATTTAAATTTGCGCGGATACATCCTTGGGAGTTACACGCGGGCAGGAGTCATTACCCCAAAATTTCAACCTCCCAAGTTTCATGATCCCCGAGATAATAATTTTCCCCGTCAAATACTTCACGAGATAGTACGTGATTCTTAAAAGCGGGGGAAGACTGAAATTAAATTTGTGGGATTGCGCGTGAGTGAGAAACATTCCTCCAAATTTTCAGCTTCCTGGCTTTTCGGTTCCCTGAATTGAAAGTTGCGGACGAATTGCCCTCGGACACACACACACGCGCGCATACACACACATACATACACACACATGCATACACACACACGCACATGTCCATTACAATATGCGTTTTGTGCAATTGTTGCATGGGAAGAAGTGAATTGGAGTGACCTAACAAGACGTGCGCCTTCGTTTACGGATTGGCATCGGTAGCTCATTGCCTGTCGTATGTGTGGAACGCTTGAAGTAGCATCCCTGCGTTTTCATTTAATCGATATATATATATATATATATATTTACTTTAGGGGTTTGTCATTTAGTATATTTCCATTTTGTGCTCAAAATTGAACATGCCAAAAAAGTCTTAGTCCGTCATTCTTTCATTTCAGATCATTATTTTAATGGATTAATAAGATATACCAAGAACTGAATTGTTTTTTCAGGTGCCATATTTAAGAAATTATCGGCAAAGCTGCACAAAGATCATCACCATGCCCAGAAAGGTTTTTTTTGCATATTTTTCCACTAAAAACCAAAATGGGCGCTCTTACCTGCGTGGTACCCACGTACGAGCCCGCCAAAGTTTTTTACGGGTAGACTGCTAACTCGGGAACCAGAAATGCTGGAAGGCTGAAATTTTAAGGAGACGTTCTCTTATTTGTCCAAATGAGTATTAATGAGCTCAAACCCAGCTCCCCGGGTAAGCGTGGTAGCTTGTTTAAAATCCCTTCAGTATCTTGCTACTTCTCAGGAAGTGGGGGAAAATTTAGAGTTGGGCATGGTTCACAGGATAATGTTTCAGAGACGAAACCAAAAGAACACCATGCGAAACAAAAGGAGCCCGCTCACAAAGAAGGTAATTTCTAGGGACTCACTGAATATTAAAGGTTTTGTATCGCATAGTTCTATGTATGGTTATCTTCCTGCCGCTGTTTTAGATAAAAAGGGAAAAGCAAACGAAGTGGCTGAAGATGTGCCCGATGCTACTGATGAAGTGCTAGCCCAAGAACCGAAAGCAGTTGACCCGTTCGCATCTATGCCAAAAGGGTAAAATTGAATTTTTGCGAATTTTAGCTAGCCATTGTTTATGAGATTAAGAAAAACCCAGGCTAGAACATACCAGGCCTGCCGGTTTGGTTACACCTTTTTGCACAGTTTCGTGCTGTAGCATGGTTGCAAGAATCACAGTAGCTAGAACTTGTGACATACTAGCCCTCGAAGTTCAGGAAGTTGAGCTATGGGACATGTCAGTTGTAGATATCGGCTTCTGTGACCTGG